CTTCGCCAGGAAAAATGACGCCGTTCGATCTGTTGAAAAGCTCCGGAATATCACACTTGATGGTTAGTAATCACTTTAATCACTTCGCTCGATAAAAAAAAAAATTTTTTTTTAATATTTAACTAACGTTCGTTTTTTTTCTTTATGCAGGTCGTGAGCTGAAGATCGAGTTTGTTGTTGCTCCTAATTCCGGCTCCATTACCCAAAGAATTGGTGGAATCAATGAGTAAGTTAATATTGGATATTTGTGCGTTTTTTATTTTTTAAAAAATCAGAATTCTGATTGTTATTGTATACAGATCTCGTCCTTCCACACGCGGATCTAGCGCTCCACGCGGGACTTCGGCGCGGGGAGGTCGTGGAGGTCGTGGAGGTCGTAGAGCAGACAACAGACCGAAGAAAACCCAAGAAGAATTAGATGCAGAGATGAGCGAATACATGCAGATTGATGAGGTATGTAATTATTTAACTTTCAATAATGGAACTTCAAGGGCCCTTGAAAAAATTGCATCTCACTGTTCTTTTTTGTTCTTGGATGTGACCAACAGGATTCATCCCAAGCAGCTGATCCTGCCACTGTTCAATTGGCACAATAAGGGAGGATTGAAGTCAACGAACGCATTTCTTGCTCAGTTCATCTACATCTGTTCTACAACATATTTGATATTCAATTCCTATTTCTTATTTAAACTAGATTTTCTTTTTTTTTTTTTTGATGGATGCGTCTTATGTGGTCTTTTATGATTCAGTATTGATATTATGGCAATGGATTGAGCCTCGTTTACATGATGACCATAATTACTATAAAGCGAGAAAACATAAATACCGAATTGTACTGTAAATTATTACTTTTTGGTTTTCAGTCATACATCCTCGATAATAGTGTACTGGATTATCGAACCACTGATGAGGCATAGCTGACTTGACTCTAATATATTTCCATTTATCTGATAAATGATACTCTTTGAATACTTATTTATTTACTGACAATGCAAAAACGCTAATAGTTAATCTATGTTACAAGGAACGACATACTTTTAGATTTGCGTATAAGGCGCTAATAAATTGGCCTTGGTTAAATTCCCAAGTGACAAGAAAATGTAAATCCTTGGTATATAGAAATTGATATATAAATGTGTAAATTAATTTTTTTTTTTTTTTTTAAAAATATATATATATATATACATTATATACATATTATCGAATGCGAGACAATGCCTTTAAGACATTCTGGGTTTCTATTCCGTTATTCCCTGATGATCGGCTACGTAAAATTGCCAAGAGCTTGTTTAGCAATTTTTCACAGTAAATTTGAGTGACCGTGTTGAACTGTAATGCATTATATAGACAGTGATATATTTGATCAACCTAAAGGAAAGCAACGTAAGTAGATCAATGATGTGAACGCTATTTGGTAAAAAAAAAAAACGATTACTACATACCTGAATTTCAAGTGAATGCACGATTTCCTCTAGGATTTTATCCTCACTTGAGGTATTATCATCCTCAACGAAATATTGTGATAAAAAGTTTTTTTCCTCTTCTGATAGAACAGACATGTCAACTTCATCGGGAAAAATTGTAGTCATTCCTTCATTCGTTGGTGCTTGTCCATCAGCGTTTACAATCGAAGAATATAAAGAATTGAATCCAGAAATTAAATTCGACCATTCCTCGTATTCCGCATTCAACCTATAAAATAAAGCTTTGTTGGTCAGTTTTCCAAATGAACTCCTTTGCAAAAACGTCCGATGGACGATAAACCTTTGCAATGTTTTTTCATATTCTTCCAGCCTTCTTTGATTTTCAACATTAAGTGGATGCTGCCTTTTTTGTTGTGGCGTTTTGTCTACAGGGTCATGACCATCCTGTACACATTCAAGTATAAATTAAACAATCTTACAAGTTTTTGCACATTAAAAATCGACATTAAGACTACTGACTCTTCGGTGATACCAAGAAGTATTGATTTTACTATCCATTAGATCATTTAAAACCTCTTGTTCTACGATCCTCGCTGTCAAAATATTTTTGAACCGTGATTTAATCGAGTAATATCCAAGTCGGCACGTAATCTCATTAATAATTACCAATTTTTAGTGCATTTAAATCCTTCGTCTTCGATTCATTCATGGCTCTCTTCCCACACCAAGTAAGAAGTTGCCTGAGCTTCTTTGGACCTGGTAGATCAGGCTGTATGTGGCGAAAAAAATCACTAGATTTTACGTCCGGATGCGGATTTGCTGGATTATTGTAACGAATATATAAGTTGGATTATATATTGTGAAACCGTATAATGAGCTATCATACGGGTAGTCACAAACCTACAAATCCATTGCCAATTGAAGAAGCCCGACGGCCTCGTTTTTCGAAACTCGAACGACGCTTCTTTTGACGGATTTCCTTATTTTTCCGTATCATTGGTGTCTCCTTGAGTGGAATGGGAACTACAGATTCCTGCGATCGTGAAAGAACACTACTATTTGGCAAAGGTTTTCTTGGAGTTTCTATGAGTGTTTGAATCTGAAGTTGATTTATGAGTAAACTAAACATCAAAGATAGAATACAACTAGTTCACCACGCACCACTTTTGATTGCGATTCGCCTTTGGAGACTGGAGATTTCATTACATTTCTAGAATTATTAACAGCGCCAACATTTCTTCTCCGCATGAAAACAAATCCATGGTCATCTTCTTCATGGGGGTCGAGAGCTATATTTATTCCGTTGAGTTCGCGTATGTATTTTAATTTTTTTTAATACGAATTTTTGTATTTCTATCAAAAAAACGTGAAACGTACTCTTTTTTCTCTGCTGAACACTCTTATCGTGGCGAGACTGCATTTTTAGATGAATCGTGCTTTTGCACTTAATATTACGACAAATAAAATTAATAAACCTTTGACCTTAACAATGATCGAGCATTAGACAATGTCGAGCTAAGCCACAAAAACATATGGCGTCACCCGTTTTTCAAGATTTCGTGCTTTCGTAAAAAATCTTTTTGATATCTTAAATGTGTCAACAAAAAAACGATAAAAATATCAACAGATATTCGCCCTTTACTGACAGTAAGCAATATTTTCAAATATGTCTGTGAGAATTTAAATTATATATACTGTATAATATATGTATACGCGAAAACTCGAGAAAACGGGTGACGCCATGTTTCTCGGTGGCTTACCAAATATTTTCAAGTAGATCATCTGATTAACTTTCCTTCGCCAATCAAAAATCAAATTTAGCTAAAATAATTTCCACAATGTTATATTAGGCAGAAAATGGTATCTTTTTTTTAATACATATTTTATTTTAATAATCAATATATTCCTAGGTAATAAATATATTTTTACTTGATATTTCTACACAGAACCCATAACCGTAAAGGAACGCAAGTCACTCTATTCTGAAAAGTATACAATGTCATATTTCTCTCCTCGAAGTCCGATCTTATCGCCAAGGTCACCGATCGTGGAAGATTTTCTTTCTGATTCCAATAGCATTCTCACCTCGGACGAGCCACTATCCCCGACACTGCAGCCCCAACGAAAATATACTCTATTAAAGGCGAAACCAACCACACAACTTTCCCTAGGAATTTCTTCACCTTCGGCATATAGCTCTTCTGAAGGGTCATCAGTGAAAAGTTTTAACGCAATTTCAAATAAAATCGAAAGTGTCATTAATGGCGGCGAAACGTCTTCAAAAGAAGGCACAGTGGATGACTTCCTGCTAGGTCTCATGAACAGATCTACCTCGACCTCTTTGAACGATCTACCTACAAACAAACATTTCTCTGGTTTTAGTAATGGAAAAAGTCAACTAAGCAGCCACAGGAAAGCAATTGATGGTGACGATCTGGAAAATGAACCTAATTCAGAAGGAGAAGGATTAGAACAAGACGAGTGCACAGGTGTGCTTCATATTTATTAGTTTCCCTTCTCCATATCAAAGAGTTTATGTTGCGCGCAACGTTCTTAATCGGACACTTCTTTAGAGAATGCTGACAACACGCTTTCCGAAGACACTTTGATTCCGCTCGACAACGAATATTGTGGTTATCGTCGAAAGTATGGACATGAAGGTGGTTGTCATTGAATGCTCGGATATAATTGTTTCATTTTGACTTATTCTTGGTCATACACCTTATTACAACCAATAGATCCTCAGTCGATTACTTGGGTACGACACAGAAAACATTTCTTTATTCTAAGTAGTGCGGGGAAACCTATTTATACACGGTATAAATTTTTGTTTTGAGCTCTTGCTTTTAATCGAAGTTATAGAACGCTGAATAGATGTACAATTGAAATTTAAGTTATGGCGATGAATCGCAAATCTCAAGTTACATGGGTGTGATACAAGCTATTGTTTCATTTTTTGCGGATTCCGACGACACAATAAGGTAATAATTATTTATTGAAAATGGGTGTAATCTTCACATATGATAAGCAATTCATATAAATATTACATTTAGATGCATAAATGCGGGACAACACAAGTTCATATTCTTACTCAAAGGTCCTTTATATCTCGTTGCCGTTTCGAGAACAAATGAATCTGAAACTCAGGTACTTCATTTTATCCTTTATATATATTTATAAGTTATTTTCATCTATTACTTCTCTCTTATAGAGAAATCTGAAAAGGGTTTGCAAAATTTATTCAAGTAGCTCAGGGACCAACTAAACTATTTGTACAATCAAATTTTGAGTGTGTTAACTTCCACACAATTAACAAAGATTTTTGAACAAAGAATTAATTTCGATCTGCGCCGACTGTTGGGAGGTGTGCATTTGGCGATTTTAGAATTCCTGATGAAAGATCTATTTTACTTGATCTGACAAATTTGTACCTTTCAGGTACAGAACCTTTCTTGGACAATCTTACAAAATCGATGAGTGACGAGCCAGGTTTTATGCTCGGTGCTATTCAGTGTGTACGAATGAGCAAAGATCTACGCGAAAAAGTGGGGAGCATAATGCAATCGGCAAAATCAAAGGTAATCGGAGATTCTTTTGATTGATTTCAATTCAATGAAATCTTGTTTGATTTTTCAAGTTTCTTTCATAGAACCTTCTATATGCAATGTTAATAACAAATAACAAATTAATAACTCTATTGAGGCCGAAAAAACATAGCCTTCATCCTGCAGGTGAGATGCAATCTTTTTTTGAAAAAAAATTAAGTGCTTTAAAAAATGCTAGAAAATACCCTTCTACATGTAGATCTTCACCTGGTTTTCAATATGGTCAATGGATCGTCAACATTTAAATCGGTCGAATCTTGGACACCCATATGTCTCCCGAAATTTAACAACAAGGGCTTTTTGCATGCATATGTATGCTATGTAGCTTCAAATATCTGTCTGCTTCTTATCTCACCCGACAAAGATAAATTTTTTGAATTATCCGAGGCAAAAAATGTTATAGTCGAGGTATGTCAAGTTACAAATTGTTTTTTTTAGTAGTTTAATTACCTACCATGTTCTGCTCATTAATCTTCTTCCTAATTAGCAAATGTCCACAGGAAAAATATTGCAATCGGTAGAAGATGCATTGCAGAATGAGGTTTATTCAATTGGTTCGTTTCAACAGTTCATTTGTCAAACCAATCTGAACGAATAGCTTATAATCTGACCCTTTTATATTAGCGGACGTGGGTGTCCCGGGTCTACGTCATTTTATTTATAAATCAAGAACACACGTGCAATACACCTCCCCAATTTTTGTGGCCCCCTACAACAATCCTCGAGAAAAACAAAAGTTGATCTTGTTTTTAGTTTGCGTTTGATTCTTTGTTTGTCAAAATTGTCATTCACATAATGATTGTTTCACTGTTCACTTGTATAGACTATTCAAATTATACCGTTATACACATGACCGAATGCATTCACGAGTGAGACCTCTCAAAGTTCACTATTATGTGAGCCCCTCGGAAACAATTTTAGGATGGGTGAGCCAATATACACATAGTTTCTTCTCATTAAATAATTTATATATTTATTCAATTATTATTTCCTGAACAAAAGATAACTTCAAGTTTCGAATTATATGCTGCGTTTGGACCCCTTGTATCAAAATCGGCTTTGACATCATCTTCGCATGTCCTATTAAGGTGGATCAAAAGAGAAGAAGATAATCTGTTTATAGTAAATTCTCCGGTGTTCTAGGTAACTTAATTATAACTACTTTGTAATTAACCAAGACTCATTAGTTCTTTAATATTGCATATAATAATGTTTAATCGATAATTTAAATAACGAGATTTGTGAAGTCGTAACGTTAAGGTTGATTATTTTCATTATTGGTAGAACCGAATTAAACTCATTAAATTTCATAGCCCTCTGGTTTCCATATAAAAATGCATATATTAAGACAATCATTAAAAAGAGTAGAAGCCATCATCTACAGTATCTTAATAATATTCAACCAAATATTTTATAAAAAATACAGTGGTGGCAGAAAATTATATTATGAAAATTTTTTTATTAAATTAATACTAATATTAATTAAAAATAAATTTATTAGTATTTTAAAATAATATTAATATTTTTTTAATATTAACAGAATTATATACAGTTTGATGCAAAAGTCTTTGGACTTTTTTTAAAAATTTTATTTTATTTACAATTTTATAAATATTTAATAAAACAAAACAATATTTATTTAGCTGTAATTTAGTATATGTTTGATATAATTGTGATATTATATATACAGTATATCAATAAAGCAATTGGTATTTAATGTTCATTCTGCTAACAAACTCTTTCCGCTGATCCCTTTGCCAACCCAAAAAACAGATGTTCTCAAAAATAATTTTTATTTTTGATAATAAAG